AAAAATCTGTTGCAATGAAGCTTAATCTAACCTTTTGCAAAGTAAACATCCACAGTTCAACAGCTAAAAAAAGTCAGGTTGTGCACATTTTTTTTTTTAACATACCCTGATTTGCAGGAAGTCTCTCCATCTTCAGAGTCACTGTCATCAACAAAGAGCCTCCTGGGAAGTTGTCAAAAGAACAGCAGGCCAAATATTATGAAGAGGTCCGAGTGTAATGGCAACTCCACGAGCAACAGCACTCTGACCGGTTCACCAGGGATAACTATGCATGTGCATTCTGCTCATACATGACGCACAACACACCTGATGCTGATGAAGCACAGTGACCGCAGTGTGTCTCAGTCAGCTGATATCAGAGGGAAAGATTAATGTTTTTGCTTTTAGGGCAAGAAAAAAAAAGTGAGACAAAGGACAGCTCCCACAAGTACAGACTGTAAAATGAGATTTCTGTGGATTAAAGCATGTGTTCAGATTAGATTACTGATTTTTCATTCATTCATTCATTCAACCTGTATTTATACAGGTTAATCCCATTGAGTCTCGGGGACTCATTGACAAGAGAGACCTGATTTTAACAAACAGTGATGACAACAATAGACAATCATGAAGGATGAGTACATGTTGAGTTTTTTTAACAAATTAAAATTAAATGGTGTTTAAAAGAAAATGTAACAAAAAAAACAGCTAGATTGTAAAGCGGTGTAAAAACAGGAACATGTCTGCATTGGTTCTTGCCAGGAACATAACAGATGTTTAAAGCCACTTAGAGAAGTCAAGGTCGAGAGCTTCAGATCTTTTTGCAAGATATTCCAGGAAACAGGAGCTGAGTAGGAGAAGACCCTTTTGCCAAGTTCAGTTCTCACTGAAGGAACACTGCAGGTAATAATGTCCTGAGAGCGCACGCTGTAGCTGCACTCACACAGAGACATGTAGGAGGAGATGTATGAAGGCAACAGACCAAGAAGTGATTTAAAAATGAAAATATACCAGTGAGAGAGTCTGCATGAAGTTAATGATGTCCAGTTAACCAGTGAATACAGGGTGCAGTGGTGGGTACGACAATCACAGCCAGTTATGAATCTTAGCACGTTGTGATAGACGGTGTCCAACATCTGCATGGTGCTTGTAGGAGCATTCATATAGATAATGCCACTGTAGTCAATGGAGGGAAGGAAAGTCACAGTTACAAGGTGTTTCTTAGCATTCAGAGTTAGACAGGATCTATTTCTGAAAAAGAAACCCAGTTTAACTTTCAGTTTCTTTACTAGGTTTTCCACGTGGAGCTTAAAAGAGAAATGCAAATCGATCAAGCTACCCAAATATTTGTAGGAATCAATAAATGCGGTAGGAGCACCATTCAAGGATAAAATCAAAGGAAGAACTGCCGGGACCGAGTTCCTGTTTGAAAACAACATCCCTTTGGATTTGTTTTGTCGGCGTTTAGGACAAGTTTGAGACGGAGCAAATCTGACTGGATGATGTCAGAAGAGGATTGCAAAAGCTGAAAAGCCGTAGCAACTGTTTTAGCTCAACAATAAACAATTGTGTCATCAGCATAGAAATGATGTATGGATGCATCAGGGATGCTCTGACCGACATTACCTAGATTGTAAAGAGGGTGGATCCTAAGACAGAGCCTTGTGGTACACCATTGTTGACTGAAATAACTGGAAGAAATACCATTATGTTGAACACATTGCCTCCGATCTGAAAGATAATTAGAGAACCAACCAATGGTGTGTTCTGAGAAACCAATTTCTGAGAATTTATGACACAAGATGTTATGATCCACAGTGTGAAAAGCTTTAGACAGGTCTAAGAAAAGTGCAGCACAATAATCCTTAGCATCCAGTGCTTCAACAACGTCATTAAGAACCTTCAGTGAAGCAGTTGTTGTGCTGTGTTGTTTCCTGAAACCTGATTTATGTAGAGGTATGATTGTGAAGAGTTTAGATGAACTTAAAAAAACAAGTCCTAATCTCTTCTTTAAACAGTCAGAGAACTAACAGTGTTTTTGTGTTGCAGCATTTTTCCTGAAAACCCTCAGCATAGAGGCTGCATGTGTGGAGGGCAGCAGCCTTTCCCTCAGGAGAATGTGCCAAAGGCTCCGCCCCCTCATTCACACCTGTGACCTCTCAGCCAATCATCAGATGGGTATACCTGCTATAACAGGGCAGTCCAGGCCCAAGCCTTCAGCGGGTAACGTGTTTGCAGCAGAGACACATATAAATGTAAACTCATGTTTCCTGGGTGGATCCTGCTGATTGCAGCTCTTTTCACCATCAGAGAAGCTGCGTATGCGTATTTGTTTGCATGTGCGTGGGTGTGTTTGTGTGTGTGTGCGTGGGTGTGTTTGTGTGTGTGTGTGCATGTGTGTGTTTGTGTGTGTGTGCCGAGCCAGGCTGTAGAAATGACATGACCCCAGCAGCAGTTATTACCTGGACATCTTCGGTTAAAAAAATAAAAATATCCTCTCAGCTGCTGGCTAATTAAAATACACCACTATCTTAGTTGTTCATCTCAGTTAGTTTAGTTTTATTCCTGATCAAAGTTTAATTAACTGTTTGAATGCAGAACCGTCTGTTTTATGGGATTTTATTAATCAGTGTCGATAAAATGAATACCCCAAAACAGTCAAAAATAATTTCAAATTCTATTTCTATTACGTTCATGAGGCACAAATGAAAAACGTTTTTGAGTCTTTTGAGTTCAGATGGCATCATTTCCACTTTAAATGAGCTAGTTCTTATGACATCTTTAACTCTATCCTTTCAAATTTAAAGTACACCACTGCACCAAAATAAATAAATAAATAAATAAATCTTATTAAATTCAGACTGACAAAAAGTGCTGCTTACTTCAGCTAAACTTCTTAAATCATGTGACTCATGGAGGACTAAAGGGTTTTAAGTTTATTTAGAAGACATGAGAAAAAACTAACAAACTGAGAATAAAGAAAATCTGCAAATATAGAAGAAAACTGCATGTCTGTCTTCAACATTCTGCTTTAACAGCATACCTCTAAACTAAGAATATGTTTAACCTTTTATGGGTTCATCATTTTAAAACAAGAAATGCTTTACATTCCAGTGGAGTATGAATGCCTGTCTAGTTTCTGGATCCCCATGCAGAGTTGGTGTAAATAGACTTCTTTGCCCAAATATGGTCTGCAGGAAGTCGCAAACCCTGACGCAATCCTTGATACTGTTACTTTAAATGGCTCCAGGAAACAAGGGCTCCCAGGCGCGTGATGGGTTTTCCTAAGCGAGGCCTCACAGAAGCCGGAAGTGCTTTATATGGGCATGTGTTTGCTCCCCTCCCCTCCTCCCCCACAGTTTTGTGCTTCCTGCAAGAGGAAGCAACTCTTATGGGGGAAGGGTGAGATCAGAGGGAAGCTGCAGGAGTAAAAATACCATTCATTCCTGGGCTAAAAATATACAAATATTTTCTACAAAACAATCTATTTCTGCTTTAAAATGACAGAGACGCGCGCAGAGGCGTATTATAATTATTTTACTATTTACTTTTAGAAAAAACTGCTACTTCACACACTTCTTTTTGTGTATCTAACAAAAGGAGTCAGGTCCTCTGGGCAGTGTCTTATTGTTTAGATAGCGTTTTATTTAAGTTACGTGGACTTGTGTTAATAGATATAATGGTGCAAAGTGCAGTTATGATAATAAAAGTGAGCTTCAGGAGCAGCCAGACATAAAAAAAAAAAGTTACTCAAACCTAAGTGAGGAGGAATGTGTTTAGAAAACTGCAGGTCAAACTGGCACAAAGACTGATGGCACCACGTCCCAACTCCAGAAGGGTTCTTCGTGCATTCACGTTTTTAAATGGTGTAGCAAGCAAAATATAAGAGTTACAATCAAAGATGTTGCTTTCCTTGATAGAATGCATGCATCTTGTCCACTACTGTTCAAGCTAGACTTTTAGAATAAGATCATCTTGTGTGGAGAAATAACAGAAATATAGCTGTTCTGGTCCAAAAGTAAAATTAGCAGTGATCTAATAGAATATCTCACAAGATCTTGCATGATCTGATAGAGCTTAAAGTTTGTGTTGTGAATGATTGCCAGCTACCATCAAACCATATCTTAGCTCAATATCTTTAAAAATCACAATTATAATTGTTTGTATTTAAGCTAAGTGAGTGGTTGTAGTGACTATTTGGAGTGGGATCGACTCCAAAAGTCAATCAGTTGTAGATGTGCATCCAATAAAATCTTTCTTAGAGTTTCATTGAAATCTGTTCAGTTGTTAGCGAGATATTTTGCAAACAGACAAACAGGGGTGACTCCGAACGTTTATGCTGATGTTTTAAGTAACATTGTTACCTGGTGTGTTGCACTCAAAGTATGTGTTGGGACTATGCTCAGCTACTAACATACCCAATTTTAGCTCATTATTTGTAAAACCGGCTGAATTGCAATCATTTTTGTGTCTTCTACTGTGGTTGCCATGTTGAGGAGGATTGACTTTAAAAACAAATCTTTTATAGATGTTCATCAATTGATTGAGTTTTGAGAATTCCATTAACATACGTCCTGTGGTTCATGAGATATTTTGCTAACAAACGGAAAGAGTTGCTTTTAATAGCTAATTACAGCTTGCCTCACTCTCACGTTTTGGCTGTTTGCAGTAATAACAAGAAACGTAGAGAATATGTAAATAAATGATAACTTTATTAGAGTTTCATTGAAGTCAGTTCAGTTGTTAGTGAGATATTTTGCAAACAGACATTTATGCTAATGTTTTAAGTAACGATGTTACTCGGTGGGTTGTCAAATAGTTTATGCATTTATTTTATTTCGATCTTAAGTCTGAATTCCCACTGAATTTAAGAGTTAATGTTGCTCCCACACAAGCGGCCGTTTGTAATTACAAGTTTCTACAGAGGAGCGATGGGCGGGGCTTCTGCCGAAAGACGTTTCACGTGTGACGTCGACGAGGTTATAAATAGTTGTCCCGCCGAGGCTTATTTTTTTGTGCCCGCGTGAAAAGTCACGAGTGAGGAGTCGAGTCCTGACGTCGTGAATGTTTTTGCGTTTTTCGGACTAGCTCCTACAACCGGCTGTGACATGGAGGTCAGCGCTGAGGCCAAGAGGATTATGGTGGTGGCTCTGGGGAAACTGTACGGCTCGCGCACACAGCGAGGCGGTCTCCGTCTCCACCGGAGCCTCCTGCTGACCCTGGTGATGAAATCAGCCCGGGACATTTACCACGCTGCCCAGACCACGGTCGAAAACGTGGCGGCTGGGTTGGAGCAACAACACTCTGCGGCTGAGACCGACACCGAGGAGCCGAGAGACGTTCAACAACTCCGGGCTCCCTTCGCCTCTCTTCCGGCGGGGCAGGCCGGGACTTCGCCCCACCTGCCCGGCGAGGCTGCCACTCAAGGCGGCGAGGACAACAAGGAGAATACGTGTCACTCGGGCTCGACGCAGCAGCACACACGGAAACGGCGGGGCAAGGCGACAGCCGAGCCGGACTTTCTACCGTGTAAGAAAGCCAAACTCGAGTATAATAACTGCTCCCAGCAGCTGCTTGTTACTTCCGTTTTGGACTATGTGAACTGTAGCAGCGAATTGGGAACTTCCCCCATCCCCCTACAGACCGCCATAGCAGCTTGTTGAAACCCATCGGAGACTTCCCGAAGGGACACTTGAACGCCTCATGCGGTGCTCCTGTTCTGTTAGGCCCAGGAGTCCCACCTGGATTTGTTCTCGGCAACGGTTCAGTCACGGTGACTTCAGCTGGATGAAGCAGGATTTACGAGGCCCTGCACTGCCTTCCATGGACATTTTTACTCGTGTATATAAGCTGTAGGGTTGCTTCAGTCAACAAATGCAACTTGTGTTGATGGTGATTTTAAATGTAAAGCGTTTAGTGATACAACTACCTCAGTATTTATTAAACTTTTTTTTTTTACTTGATTTTAACCTGAAGTGGTCTTTTTTTACTGAAACAATGTGGTTTGCCTTTAAAATATGTGGAAAGAGTCCGTGGGAAAGTGGTATCTGGAAACTTGATTGGGGAAGTTTTCATCCTACCCCCACTGTGATTTGCACAAAAAAGCAGAGGCCATTTGTGGTCCAAAGGATGGGGAGTGGGGGAGGATGCTATAAAGCCAAACTGACACAGGACAATGGGGGTCTTGTTGCTCCTCAGTGGCTGTGGATTTTAATTTTATTAGCAAGGTATCGTACATACTGCTACAACTGATTAATTTGGAGCTAAATGGCTGCTACAGTCAACAGATTTAAGAAAAAACAATGGTTATTAAGTTTTATTCTAACATTTGCTGAAGTGACTTGAGTACAATCCCCCACTAATAAATCTGAAATGCTAACAGATTATAATACTGTGTTAGCAAAAAAATCAAATAAACTGAGCAGACGTTCACAAAACCTTTTCAACATTCACAAATTAACCTTTGAAGTCAATCTAAGTAAACATGGCTGCCATCATGAATAATCTGGTTTACAAAATAGTTTGACAGACATTGAACTGACATTTGCTGTGGTAGTAGCTGAGACTGATCCCCAATACATACTGAGATATTTTACATGAGAATATGCTGGTGAATATTCTCATTCAGGTTATGATCAATAATAAATAAATTAAAAAGGATAGGAAAAAAAACAACTGGACTTCTATTCTGGAGCTGAGGCTCCCATCCAGGTTTTATCAGTTTTTAAATGCCTGGAATGTGGAGGTTAAGCTATGCGCTGAACTTCAGCTGCAGGTTAGACAGGAACTACTCGCCCTGCACAATGGAGGCTTGTTACACTGCCGTGCTCTGGGAGATGTTTGGTCACATGCGTGAAGTTGTGCATTGGAAGAACTCTCATCTTGAGCAAGCACGAAGGCGACAGTGGAAAGGAAAAAAAACTCCTTCATGATGAAGAAACCCCAGTTAGGATACATCTCACTGGTCTTCACCTGTTTAATCTGAAATCCTTAAACACAAAATTAACAAATTAAATGAACACATGATAAAAATCAAACTTAATGCCCTCAATTCTGCAATCAAAGGGATTCTCCATTTGTTTTTGGGGTAGTAGGTTATAAAATGGGGGGGTCTGTGTACACCCCAAGAGGCCCCAACTGAGAACTAATTCTTCCATTTGAAACCGGAGCACCATGTGTACACATGTCCTGATCCATCTGGTCATGCGTCTGACACCACTCTCTCACCCACAAGCACACTGACTTCATTTAGAGGACTTGGATAAATAAAGAGTTAAGAATGAAATAACTGTTCTACATTATTACATATGTCCTCGAGCTAATGGTATGAGTTTCATTTCTCAATATTTTGGGGAAATAGATGCCTCCTATATCAAAAGATTAGACAGGTAAGGGTGATATCAAATTTTCTACATAATGACACATGCCCTCTGTGCTATCATGCTGTAATATAACCAACTTGCAGCTGCATAATGATAAAAAGCTTGCTGAATTGTTTCAATTAATCTGCGCCCTCCCCGCACACAAAATTTTTCTAGAGCTCAGAGTGATGTGCGTTCCCGCAACAAGGTGTTTCTCGGTACAAGGTGGCGGGCAACATGCATTCCTTCGTTTGCACGTAGACACTGAATCAATGTGTTTACAGAGATAAATCAGGACAATGTTCTCCAATGATTTGTCAGGCGCAGGTATAACGATCAGTTAAATAAACAGGATTTTACTCATGTCAGTATTCACTCATCATATCAGTAGTAGCTGCGTTAGGTGTTGGTGACCTGCCTCCAAAGAGTGGAGGGGTGTTCCAGTTAGTGACCAACGGGAGCCCAGAAATCCAAACGTCCATGTTATCATGAAACGCACCACATTAAACCTCACTTTGTTTACCTTAAATACAACACGATCTAAAGAACTGTAGCTTAAGTTAAAAATAATAATAATTAAAGGTCCTTCCTTGAAGAAAAAAAATACTTAAGTTTTAAAGGTCTAGTTCAGATCCTTTAAAATTGAGTTCTACAGAGCAATTAACATCTTACCTGTTGTAGATAGCTCTTTGGTTGGCGTCAGTTTGAAGAGCAGTTGTTTTGCTCTGACCATCACCATTTGAGCACCATCAGCCTTAATGGTCGCTTGCTATTCACAGAGGGCTGAGTGATACTAGCAATAACAACACTGTAAGAAGGTGACAGTTTAGCACGGAGGCCTCCACCCCTGTTGAATGATGGACAGGTTCTCTTCACAAAGATGGCTTCCTTCACTCCTCTACAAGCTTAAAGCAGCTGATGTATGATGATATTTCTGGAAGTGATGCACCAGAAGTGAAACTGCTAGCTGCTGCTGCTTCTATTTTGCAAGTAGTCACATAAATCTGCAAAGATAACCCCGTGATGATTAATTTTTGGTGATGTAAAGGTTTATAAGACAATTTATTACTGTATGGCAGGAATCTTCTTTGGTCTTGGCATCGCTCGGTCTAGCCGTTACTTCATCATTCTGGTCAAAATCAAATTTTTACGACCGCTTACGCGTATGCGGTGTCTCACAATAAACTGCCCAGCGACGGACTGTTTTGTATGCAACACCAATGTATTAAATTCCCCTTCTTCATCCCTGATCTGGCCTTTTCTTTTGTTTTTCCCCAAGAGGCAGTGATCTCTTCCTCCTCCGTTGATGCAATGACTGAAATGGTGAGAAATGAAGGAATTTGTCACGAGCGAATTAAACTCAGGTCCAGCATGGCTGCGGGAGGGTCTGGAGATTTCCTGGTGGGCTGGTCTGATGTGTGCTGTAGAGCCAGTGCTCTGTTTTTTTTTTTTTTAGATCTTTTTATTAACAACATATAAACACAAAACGCTGTGAGTGAGGCTGCCAGCGCTCACTTTTTTTTCTTTTTCCCGACCTGTCAATCAATCCAGTAGGCGTGTCAGCAAATGACCAATCGGCAACCTCAATTTGTCCCGAAGGTAAACGCCCTTGTCTGTGAAGCTGCTCTGCAGCTGCTCGGGGTGTACGCTGGAGTACGAAGTCTGAACCCTCTGCGTACAGTACACGCATACATACGCGTGAACGGACATACGCGGCAGTAGGGGACAGTTGAACACAGAAGCCTCCGCCCCCTGTTTAATGATGGACGGTTTCTCTTCACAAAGATGGCTTCCTTCACTCCTCTCTCAAACCATCGTTCCTCTCTATCAAGGATGTGAACATCTGCAGAAAGAAAAGCTCTGCAGAGAGTGGTGAAGGCTGCACAGAAGTCTGTCGGAGTCAGTCTCCCCATCATGAAGGACCGCACTCACCCAGCACACACACTTTTTGCTCCGCTCCCCTCAGGAAGGAGGTTGAGGAACATTAAGTGTAGAACCACTAGACTGAGGAACAGCTTCTACCCTGAGGCTGTTAGACTCATGAATCTAACCAGAATAATCACTGTGAAAAAACCACATCATGTTGCTGCTGATCTATTTCAGTGTTGATGTGTTCATGCGTGCTCATCTGCTCACACAGACTCATGTTCATGTTTGTGCTGATGTTCGACATGTTTTTATGTTATGAGTGCTTAGTGTATATTTAGTTTATGTTTTTCTTAGTTCATATCTTAGATGTTATTACTGTTTTTCTTATACATTTTATTGTTGGATGTAACTGGGACCCTGTGTACATAATTTTGCTCCATCACATTTACCACATGAGGTGCAAATGACATTAAAGAAACTCTGACTCTCTGATCTTCATCCCTGAAAGAGTGACCGCTGGCCTGGAGATGAGTGTAAACTGCAGAGTCCTGGCCTGATGATGTTGATCTTCTGTGCTGGTCCATCCTTTTGGCTAGTGGCTGTTTAGTTTCCCCGATGTAAGACTGATCACAGCCCTCCTGACACTGAACAGCATACACAAATGTGGATTTTAAAAGTACTTTGGAAGACCTGTCTCTTTTAAGGAAAGAAAATACAAGGGGGAATCAAGACTCAAGACACAGTGCTGTTAAAAAAAATGTGTGAAGACATCTTAAAGTTTTAAAACACCACCAATATACACAAACACATAGTAAAAGAAAAACTGAGTAAAAATTGTAAGCAAGAAAAAAGACAAAGCAGTGTGCATTCTCTCTGAATTTTATTCTTTAGGAAGAGATCTGTTTGGAATTACAAAATGCACTGGTAGAAACAGCGGTGAAACTGGCTGAGTGCGCAAGGTAAGAGTGAGAGAGACGGAGTTAGAGAGAAATGAAGGACTGAGTGAGAGGTCAAAGGTCAGGCAGCCAGTTGGAACGAGTACATCAGCAGAGTTGGCTAGCGCCTGCACCTTCAGCCCTCACACAAAGTAGAAAGAAAACAGCATCGTCTGAACTGTATTCAATTTTCTCTTTTTTTTTTTTTTTTAATTATCATTTTCTGTGAAAACAGTTCCTGTTTTTTGTGGAGTCCTGAACATTGATGTGTTGTGTCTCAACCCCATGGAAATCAAGATAAAACAAAGCAAAACAAAAATCCTAGACTTTGATTCGCGCCAAAGTCTGTTATCTTTTTTTGATTTTTTTTTAAACGTATTTTTCTCTTTTTTGTTTTCAAAAATAGAAGAAAAAACTGAAACATTGTTCATTTTTTTTTTAAAAACATCTATCTATTTATATACCTTTTTTTTTTTAATTTCTCTGAATTAATGTGCTTTTTCTTTAAAGTCCTGAAGATGACTTTTAACCCACGGTGTGGCATGCACATAGCACATGCATTTCTGGAACTAGAGATTTTTTTTTTTCTTCCTGTTTTTTAAAATAATTTGTACTTAAAAAAGGACAAAAAACAAACAAACCAACAAAAAATATTTCCCCCCCATAGCGACTTTACATTGCTTTTTGAAGAGTTTGTGTGGTTAATTAGTGTTAGTGGACTTCACTGCAGCATATACACAAAGATGGAAAGTTCAGGCGTTGCATGTTCCATTCGGGGTTGACTGACACACACATATGCACACACACACGCACGCGCGCGCACGTATAAACACAGACTGCTGCAGATTTTCTTTTTACAATGGTTTGACAGAAAAAAGTTCAAAGTTGAAAAAGATTTTCAAAGACAAAGTATAGAAAAGGAAGCAAGCTACGTAACAAATCATTAAAGTTATCAGAAACATTCACCCGTGTACATACATAGAAGCAACCCCCCCACTTATAATACAACCAGGTGCTACATACCTAGTTGCCTTCTGGTTTTAAGTGTAGTGATGTGAAAAAGACTTGTTCGTGACATCCCACTAAGACTGGAAAGACACTAATAGGCAGTTTTTTTTCTCCCCATTTCTATTCGTTTTCAACGCATTCTCTGGTCAACATGTGATAATAGGCTTTCAGGTAAAACGGAGATGAACTAAAAAAAAAACACACAAAAAACGAGTGAACAACAACAACAATGTGTTAGGGCTGACAATGGTGTGTGTTGGTGACCAGTGTTGGTTTGAGGCACACAGAGAAACACACCAATAGAAAGGTTCACTTCAGAGGTGGGGTTCTATAAAAAAGGGTTGGGAACAAAACAACTTGCTCTTGTTATCGTCAGTTTTGCATTGCAGTTATTTATATTTAATTCTATGGTTATTTCATGTGTAATTAGTGGCAGCAGCAGCTAGCAGTAGCACTTCTTTTTCAACCTGAGTGCCATTTTGACAGGAATGTCATCATATTTATGCAGTGACAGCCATGTAATGTGAACGTGACAGTGTTGTAAAGATGTTTTAAAGTAGCCTTAGCATGAGCCAAGTTTGGAGACAGGTGTTTTTATTTTATTATTTTAAGATAGCAGAAATCATCTTTAGAACTGCCCCCCCCCCACCCCCCACCCCCCAGCTCGGACTAAACTGACAAACTAATGGGACCAGGCTACGCAGGACCAGTCCCAAAGAGGATTTCTGCTATCTGAGAACACCTAATTTAATCTCAACCCTGATAATACTATTTTATAATCTTTCCACCATCATCAGTTTTGCAATATGCAATTTTTCTATGATTATTCTACGATGAATCTCCTGCAGGAAGTGTCCCTGTCTGCACCAGAAGTGCTACAGCTATCTGCTGTTGACAATAATTACACTCGCAAATAAAGAAGGAATTCAATGTAATTAAGTCTACAATGCAAAATATACAATGTAGTAGTCCCTCGACAAAACGCGGTTCGTTTATCGCGGGCTCGCTCTATCATGGTTTTTCAAAATAAGATTGGACAAGATTGGCTGATTGATGGATGAGGTGCACAATCAGCATGGATTTTTTTATTTAAAATAAATATATATATTTTTAATGATTTAGCACCTGTTGCACATTTGTGCAGCCCAGAGCTGCAGAAAAAGCTTCCTGCTGCAGCTTTGTGCAGCCCATACTACTGCAGGATAAACTTCCTGCTGCAGCTGATCAGCTGTTCACGGTGCAGAGCGGAGAAGTGGGCGTGGCCAAGAGCGCTTGCAGGCGGCAAGGAGCAGAGGAGGCAGGAGCTGAAATGACATTCTGTGCTCTTTTAAAGCTTTAGAGTTTAGAAACATTGTTTAGAATATGGCAAGAGTGTGGGAAGGGTTTATA